GTGGACAAAAATTCAGGTAGAACAATAATATAAAGGACAATACAAGTTTGAGGATGACATGACAGTGATAAAGATACAGGCTAAAAATTAAGCAACAGGTGATACAGGGAGGAAGATAACAGATATAGATATAGAAAAAGAAAAAAAGAGAATAAACCAGGTTGGAAATAACAATCATTCCAATGGAAAGAAGAGACAGACAATGATACAGTTGGGAGATAAAAGACAAACAACAGTGTACAACTTAAGTGATAGACAAACTGTGATGAATATGTACCTGAGCCAGTCTTCAATGTACAGAGGTTTGATATAACTTGACGATATTCATGCGACTAGCACAAGAGATGGTTAATGTGATGCACACTGCAGGTTCATACTCATTAAATAACTTATGGTGTGTTGCTTCCAATAGCATGTCTTGAAGAAAAATGCTTTTTCTTCCACTTCAATATGGCAGACAGGCAAGTCACTTGCTTTCAGATTTGGTTGACTTTGCATTTTCTCCATGGTTTGAATATATATACCATATTTCAAAAAAATATGAGCCTATCCCATGTACAAGTCGCACTGTGATTTTAGGACCGGAAATGTGGGAAACAATAATATCATTAAAACATGCTATGTTCAGATATCTTGCAGGCATCTCTGGGTGAAGACTAGTGCATGTATGCGAGCTTAGTCCATTTCTTTCCATGAACATGAAGCATCAGTTGTGCCCTCCTTTTTAACCAGCAATTCTTGCCTCATGCCGAACTATCTTAGTGGACACAAGAATTCTACCTTCTCTTTGCTCTTCAATCCATATCTTCAATTCCCTCTCCAAATCAAGCTATTTTGTCAACTGGCTTGTCATGGCCTTTTTCTTCCGTAGCATCTTTCTTTAGTAAGGTTTTTTTTCCCCAGTTTCAGGAGCACTAAATTTACGTTCAGCAGCATATTTTCTATTCACTTTTGCTAACTAGATCACTTTTAGCTTGAATTCAGCACTGTGTGAAAATCTTGTCTGAGATATTTATTGGCAATACGTAACCCAATGCAACAAGTGCAAAACAAGCAGCGCAAAAACAAGCCGGAAAACCATTACAGCGGGAGAACATACTTTTATAATTGTCCCATTTTACGTCACTCCCGAACCGGCATAAAAAATGAGGCCCTGTACAGCACATTTTCTATTAAACCATATGGTAAAAATCTACTGCCAGTGTATAAGACCAATTGTAGACCCCATATTTTGGGAAGTGCATCTTTTGGGAAAATACAGCAGTTCTATTTGGAATGCTTTTCGACTGTGCCCAACAATGGATTGTGTTGTGAACTTTCAAATTCAGAAAATGGCGTGTGCCCTGTTGCCACAGAACTGTTGTGCCTTATGAGAAATCGCGCGCACAAATGTCATAACTGCTGCTTCCACTGACGATGAACTGCAATTCTAGTAGCGGACTATTTGTGTTGGCAGTTCTGACGGCTGCCATATTGAATTTAATGTGTATGCAAGTTTTTTGCACTGCTGAGATAGCAGCCCATTTCTGTTTTGTTTGTTTGTTTTTGTTTACACAGGACAGAGATGAGCATTCTGTGTAGTTTTTACTGGCACAGAACCAGAGCAACTCTGGCGTGACATGTCTGCCATGAAGTTGGAATTTACTGATTAATAAGTGCTTTTCAATCTGCAAGCACAAGGCAAGGATGACTTCAATTACACTGAAAACTAGCATAAGTTTCTTTATTGGTTCTTTATACGACTGGGAGGTATGAGAAATAAAGCAACCTGACCTTTAAAATAAACACAAAATTACACCCACGATTATTTGATATTTTAAAATAATGTTTTTTTTTTATTGATGAACACAACTAGCAACATATCCAAGAAGAAACTTTAACTACCAACACAAACATGATAAATTATACCCCTGTTTAACAATAAGTGACTAATATAACTTTTTTTTTTTTTTTTAGAAAATAAAAATATTTGGGCTAAAACATAACTTTACTGCAGAAAATATTTTTTAAAATTGTTAATTGTTAAGTCATCTGCTTCAAGTACTTAAAAATTAATCATAAAACTGGTTCGCAAACTGTTACACAAAAGCAGATTATGTAAAGGTGATTTAAAGTATACCAACTGTCAACAGGGACAATTAGTAGCCATACCCATTGCTTTCTGTTGGGGGAGATCGAGTACTTATGAGTTTTCCTGAGTGCAGTGATACTGATTCTTCATTATATATTAAAGGTAACATCAATGCTGGAATGATAATGCTGCAACTGTCACCTGCTTGCAAAATCCAGTTGAAGAAGAAGATGTGACAGTGATGGCCAGATTTCCTCTGCCTCGATCCCCTAAAGACTGAACTAAAAATCGAAAGGTCACACAAATTTTCAGGGTTCATCAATATCCATATGTTCATTGGGTGGTATGATCTACTCCCCATTTGATCATTTGTAGGTTCAATGGTTCATGTCATGAAAGGTGACTAATTATGGGTTTGTTAAAATCGTATGACTTTTGCCAAATGTTAGAGATACTGCAGCCACAACATGCCAACTGTTCTTTTAAGGGTGAATGCAGAAGAAGAAGAACTATTCATGTTGCGTTCTAACAATGGGTACTAGGAAATATGGAAAGTAAACTTACTCTCGTGATACTGCGGATATCTTCCATTAAGCGGTCTATACAAAAATGGAGCCAGTACCATAGACCCTCTGAATCCACACTGAGTCATACTTTTATCAATCACATGGACTTTCAGGTTTACCCAGCCAAAGATGAATACTGAGAATTGTCAAGTGGAGCTCCCAGTGTGGGTTTCAGAGCCCTGTTATACTGGGGGGAGGAGGGAATGGGGATGGACCCACTGTTCTCCTAACAAGAATCTCATAAATTAGACTAGTTACAGAAGTTTCCTCCTAAGTCAGAAAATATCTGCCCGACAGGTGAGAAACTAAGACTACATACAAATAAACCAAATCTGTATAACGGATGTGCATGTAAAAAAACTAGTTCTGGAACATAAAGTCCAGAAGTGGATGAATAACCAGAACTTTCTGCCGAAGTTTACAGCCAGTGAATGCTATGAAGAAGAAAAACAGTCGTTGGAAACCCAGCAGGGAATGTTGATTGATCTAAAGAAATGCGTCCAGAACCTATACACCTGATACATCAGTGGCATAAAAAGGGAACTTAACTAAACTGACTTTTTAGCCATGGCGTATCGGCACTGGAATCTGACATTCTCACATGACAGCCCCATTCGGTTATATAATTTTATACACAAGATCACCAGGACAACAAGATGCTAATTACTGCACGACAATGGCTTGTGAACCCTGTATTGGTGCCTGAGTTTAAACATTGCATGATTTCAATCTCCACTTTAAATTGCAAAACATAATTTTACAGTTTTATATTTATACCCCAAAGTATAAGTCCAATATTATGGATAGGCAGGTGGTTTATTGAAGCCTAGAAGGTTTATTTGCTTCTGGCTAAAGTTTGCTAAGGCAGATTCAAAATACAGAATGGTCTCCATGGCTTTTCTGCCCATGCTACTCGTTCAAATGCTTGGTGGAACAATATGAGCTGTGTATTTCATGTGGAGTTGTCTTTTTTCTGTGCCCTTAGCAGTCAATGTCCCAATATTTAGAAAATGGTTAGTGGTCAGTTTATGTTTGGTCGAAGTGCCTTATGCATTAATATTGTGTGTGTATGGCCGATTAATTGTTAATGAATTTCCATCAATGACAAACTGCCATTCTGGTGGTGGTTGATGGTGCTGGCACCTCTAGCGACTGCCTTATGTAGTTACTGTGTGCGCACGTTTCTGGATTTGCCTAGATTAATTGTTTGTTTACTCGTACTGAAATGAGACAGTGACAAGAATTATATGTGATTTTTCACTCTGATAGGAACAAGTCAATTATGGGGTAAGGGTAACCCATGTGCAGTGAAGGTGAAACTTTGACTACAACTACTACTACATTTATAACAAATGTTAAAAAAACAAATGTTACACAACAAATGAATAGGCACGCGTTAAAAAAAAAGAGCCAATTTTTTTTCATCCTGCTGCCGACATGTAAGGAGAATAATTATAACAGCCGCAATAACATTTAAAAAAATGATAAAATAAGTTCCAAAATATCAAAGAATCTGAAAATAAAGTTTCGGATACTCGCACTGAACAGTTATGTACTATTGTCCACGGATCATCCACATCTCTACCTAAAGTCATCAAATCAGCCGAACAAATTAATAAGACCCCTTTACTCTCAAATGTTCATAATGTTCCAACAATTGCCAATGTGTATAATGGAAAAGAAGAAATTAAAGGAACCCAGTAAATGTGATACATATTTAAACTTTGAGAAAATAAACAGGAAATAATGCAACGACACAATCTGCTTGTGCTTCCACATTGGTTAACACTTTTGCCCTGCAATTATGCAAACAAAAATGGGCAAAGGAATTACACTCAAAAAATCCTTTTTTAAAAATAAAAAAAACAATTTTACACAGGTAACTAAAATTGTTTAGAAAGTTTTTTTTTTTTTTTCAAAGAAATATATAGATATATATAAAGGGAGTAATTAATAAACAACAACAAAGTAAGCACTAAACAGAATGCATTCCCTGGGGTCTAAAACAAATATGTATCAGGTAACTCATGCCATGACTCCATGATCTCTATCACTGAGGCTAAATAGCAATTTTAAGTCAACCTGCCTTTAACAAAGCTTTTGGATTCCAAAGCAAACTCCTCTAAATGCTACAATTAGTTAATATATTCACATCTGAGCCTCCTAAATACTACAATTAGTTAATATATTCCCATCTGAGCCTAATAAACATTACATAGGCGCAAACAGAGCCAATGGCATTTAACTACGCTTTGGACGAGAATAGGTCATTACAAAAACGGCGATATACCGGCAATTACTGGGCTGTTTCACAACTACACGGGGCGACAGGGTTAACCCAGCATTTATTTGTAAGGGACAATTCAGAACCGACGCATTCTTTTAATGTCCATCATTTCTTCGCGGGCAGCTTCACGGCGGCGGTCCATCATCATACGCTCATTCATGCTGCTTTGTGACTGGAACATGTTAGGGCTACCGCCCGCTACTCCTAGATTCTGGGAGCCACTTCTCATGCCACCCCCAGAACCAGACCCCATGGATGTTGGAGGGCCTGCCTGGGGCCCACCCATGTTGCCAGGATTGCCCATGCTGATGAGACTGGGAATAGCATGAGAAGAAACACCCATCATGCCACGTTGGTTCTGGTAGCTGTTGTCAGGACCTCCCTGATCAAAACGAGGTCTCTAGCAAACATAAGACATAAACGGTAACACACACGGAATTTGCCAAGCGGCAAATAGAGTTAGAATTATATCATGATCATTATTTCACCATTAAAAAAAAAATAATAAGCCATTTGCCAATTACAACAATAAATGTATCCGAAAATATCAAATGATATTTTAAAAACAAGAAGATATCATAATTCCGTTGTTGTCCATCGCAGGATCACATGTCATCACAGTCGAGAATAGGTCAGGAAACAGCATGCCGCGGACACATAATCATTTTGGGAAGAAAAGAAAGGCAAATAAATACATTAGACAAACTGGCCTTTCTACAGGTAACTGGTCTGTGATTCAAGAACTATGAAGCTGAAACTAATACTCATTTTATGGACTTCAAGAAGTCACTAAAGCATACAGTGTTAACTGTATTAAAGTTAGTTGCGTATCCTTTATAGGACATTGCAGAACTGACCCCAGCATGTTTTGGCTGTTGTTTTTTTCTAGGCAAATTTACATTCAGTAGTTTGCCATTGTTTTCTGGACAGTGGGCTTCTTGATACCACTGTCAAAACCAACGCAAGGTGCAACGCCAGCAGCTATGATCGAACCCAGGGATCTGGCATTACAAAGCGCGTCCGCAAACTTTAGCCACAGACGCTGACTAACTGTATTAGTGTCAGAATTCTGAAGAAATATAAACATCTCAATGTTAACGGTCACGCATGTACAGTTGACGACGGCACTCAACCTTTTCGCAGCCTCAGTAACACGGGCCCATGGTGTTCTAGATCTACAAGACAGAAGTAAAACTAGTAAACTATTTATCATTATAGCCCCATAACAGCTAGATCACTGGGTGCTATTGACTGTCTGGTCAGTTCCATGCACCTCTGTCGATAAGATGTAATCGATACTGCACCACGCTGGCCGCTTTACTTCCAAGACCATTTTAAAATCTGCTTGATAAGAATAAGGAATCAAATCCCAAACCTTCTCGCCAACAGGAAAGAATCCAGCTAATGTGCTACAGCAGCTATAAGACTAACAATTTGTGAGGGACAAGTCCAAACACCACAGAAACTTACTGTAACTTGTGGAGTACACATTGACCCGGTGTACAAGTTAACCTCAAGATTTGTAACTTTAAATTCTGAATTAAGTCTATGGTATATTATCACAACTGGCACCAATGCATTCCCATGCATGCTAAGTTCTTCTATGCAGCAGTCACTACATGGCACCTCTACTGATTGTTCCCATTAAAAGCCGGTTACAATGTCACCTATCTTGACCAGGTTTCACTCTGAGTTTATGATACTGTATCAGCTTCACAGATTCATTACTGTCTGCCAGTCTAGCCAGTACAACATTGATGAATTAGGCCTATACCTACATAATATATTTTATACCCACCTCATAAGTCGATCCCTAGTTTTGGACAGATCTGTGTTTTTTTTTAAAGACTTGACAACTCAACTTATATGATACAATTTACAGTACCTAGATAGATCTATGCATTAAACTGACCCCACAGATTTCTGATGTAACCTGCCACTCTGGCTAGTATGTGTATGGAGGATACCACTGTTAGAAACAACCTATGGATTCTTGATCTACCTCTAGCATTACATTTACAGCTCCCTCAGCCCTAAGCACACAAGTGGTCACTAACTGGGTTTTATGCTCGCAGGCGTGTGTGAACTATTGTGCTTGTCTGTCTGTGAGTTCAATTTTGGCACCATGGAAGTTGAGATTAAACAATTAGTTTTAAAATCTCATTATCCTTGAGTACTAGGGTTTGATTTCCCCAATAAACAGTTTAACTCTTTCTAAATCCTGTTCGTGGTTTCCGGACTGCAGTATGAGAGCTGCACTGTGGAAAAGAATGGGCTCTCAACATGTAATATTCACAAAGATAACAGTGGGTACACTTTAGCCCACTTTTATTGTGGAGACTAACGCTAACACAAGGACAGCGTATAAGATCTAATATAGGTTACAAACTGAATGAAAATTTTTTTTAAAGCAGGAGCTTGGCAGAAAATTAAACTAGAAATGTACAACACTCAACAGAAACTTTCTTTGAAACTACTCAATAGTTGAGACTCTGAAGCTGGCAAAATATGAATGACTAGATTTAAAGCCCAGCTTCACCCAAGACAGTGAAGGAAAACTGTATTCCCTTGTTCTGTATTTCATCATTGTCTCCAGAGTGTCCGTATAATTAGTCACTGCATCTAATGCTCCTACCGCCTCCTAGTCTGTTCCATAACCCCTCACATCTGACAAACAAAGCATTCCAACCCCCCCCCCCCCCCCGGGACAAATCTTGTCCTCTACTTCATCTTTGTCTCAAACACTGCTGTATATTTAGTCACTGCCCTTAAGTGCACCCAGGGCTCTGACTGCCCCCAGAAAAATGGAGCCGACAGATGCATTTACTGTCTGTTATACACCAACATTTCTGGTTGTTCATCCACCTCTGGACATTGGTTTTGTTCCAGAACCTGAACTCTGCACGCATATTTGTTCAACAAATGTGAATTACATGTATGCAGATACCTTGTTTATTGTCTCTCAGCTAAAAGAAAATGGCAGACCCAAAGTTTCAAGGAGGTAACAATGGAATATAGTTTAATCCCAAAAAAATGTTTAAAAGGATATAAGTAAAGGGATACTCAAAGGGATATAACTTCAGTAAAAGTTAACTCTGAGTGACTGTGATGTTAATTATCAAAAATTTGCATAAACCTTGCCGCCAATATTACTGTTAAACTTGGCAGTTCACTGAAAACTACAGACAACACACACAATGATTTTCTGTTTCATAGTAAAGATGACAAAGGTATTGGCAAAACTAACTCAATATAAGGCCGTAATTCTGAACTGATAAATGATGTTACGTAGTGAAAAATTGGAGGCTGTACTAAATATACTAGCCATAAACTGTTCTCAATATGACTACCGTCGCGCATGATTTAGCAGTTTTTATGATTTCCCGACCCAGACACCTGCCGAAATGACCCAGGAGTGGAAAATTAATAAACTGATAAAAGAACCAAATGTATAAGAGCAGGTAATGCTGCTAATGAAAATGTTTAGTGCTGGCCTATTCATCCAACTAAAACAAGCAAATTTAGTAATAATAATATGTGTGATTATTGTTCCTATGACATATGAGTTTTCCAAATTCAACACAATACCACTGTAGTGATATTTTACAAATGTTCACTGTCTTGTTCCAAACAGAACATTGTCTCCATATCTGGCACAGATGGAAGTAATAATTTTTTCCTCTGTAAATTGTGGACCTCAAAGAGGTGATGTTCAGTTATAGTAGATATAGGTAATAAAACATCTTGTGGGTTTTCAGAAACCATGACGGTAGTTGTATTAAATGTCATTTGACTATTAACTGCAACAATACAAGACATACAAAGCTGAAATACGATACAGTGCCCGTCTAGACTTCACCAGTAAAGACCATAGCTTTTAAAAATCGACAATTAAAAGTTCCCACACCAACACAGAGTTAAAATATGTTGACATAATCAGAAGTAACCACTGTACTTGTGGCTTATTTCCTTTTAATGGAGTCTCTCCTTTTTGCACGGATTAACAGAAAACAACTAATCAATCCCCACAATACATTGTTTGTAACAGGTAGCAGCAAATGAAAATAATCCACAAGTATTATATATTTCACTAGTGATGGGAAAATTAACTGGCAACTTAAAAATTGCCAACTCAAAATATATGAAGAGGAAGCAAACAGAGACTCTAAGAGCATTGGTGACTTTCTGGTTCTACCCACTGGCGAAAACTGAAGTATGTCGTGACAAAAGGAAAGGAAATTCTCTAAATTGCACACACAAAATTAAAAAAATAAATAGTTTAACATCTATAAAACTATATATATTCTTGTAGGAATTAATTCTTTATAAATCACGCTGACATTCAGTGACATCCCAACATTTATTCAAACTAGCTATGCTGATTTGCTGCATTTTTTTGCTGACTAAATTGAGTATTTTTATGCAGGCATTTTTTTTAAAGTTAGGAAACAAGACCCATGGAGGCCTTTTAGACACCTCCGAAACACGGTCCTACCTTTTTCCTCCCTCCTGCTATGTTTTGATTGTGCAAAGGTAACACGAAAAAAAAATAAATGATTTGATGTCAAATTACAGAACACAACTCCCACAGCCCACGTGAGTGAGAAATGCAAGAAGCCTGCTGAGAAAGATGTCCACTGTAGATAGCATCTTTTAGATATTTTCTTTGAGTATGCACGTGTATTAGGAAACGAAAAGGCAGGTAGACTGATTGGTTATAAACAACTGTATGGTAAATGGATGCATGAAAAGTTGTATGTGGTTAAAGCCCTTTGTAAGCAAGCCAACACAGAATGCGGAAGCACAGCCAGATCATTAAGGGTTGTGAGGAGGCACATTTAAGTGATTCCAGAATGTATGTTTACTTGAAATGTTTGAAAAACAAAGAATACCAGCAAGATACAAACACCCTTTTAACTTAAGACCTGATCAGGTAACTGAGCAGTTTCAAAAGCCATCAGAATGGAATTTAACATCAGACCCTCACAGTGTATAAATGTCAATTATTCTAGATAACCTGGTCAGTCCAGACTCTGTGGCCCTGATAGAGAGGTATGTACAGCAATTAACCTTAAGGGCAGTAATTTGACAGAGTTGGTTATTTCCCCATGGGATTGTCTTTCCTTAAGTATGGGTCCAGAAGGCTAGTACTGAAACCTGTCAAGACTTAGAGGGTCCAGGTAAGCAAGTGTTAGAGAAATCGGAGAGTGAAGATGGGAAAGAAGAGTGTGACTTTATATATGGCCATACAAACTGATTTTTATTATCTGTGAGCCTTAACTAGCCAACTTTAATCATTCATGAAGAAGATATTACAGAATTACTTTTTGCCGACGAACAGGTACTCATAGCAGGAAATACGGAATGCCTACAGAACCACCTAAATCAAATTAGTAACAA